TGGAGATAAGAGTCTCACGGAGTTTCCTGCCCAGGCTGGCATGAGCTACCAGCACCCAGCCATTTTTTAAATTTTTAAAATGTGCCTGTATTAGGGCTTGAATTCAGGACTTGACCTTAGCTTTTTTTGCTCAAGGCGAGTGCCTTATCACTTGAGCCATAGCTCCACTTCTAGTTTTTTGGTGGTTAGCTGGAGAACAGTCTCACAAACTTTCCTGTAAGGGCTAGCTTCAAACCGTGACCCTCAAATCTCAGCCTCCTGAGTAGCTATGATTACAGGAATAGCTACCAAGTGCCCAGCTCCATTTAATTTTTTTTTTTTAAGGTCTGAAACCAAGACCTGTACTCAGTACCTGCCACTTTCACTCCTTGGCTAGCATTCTACCAACTGAGCCACACCTCCAACCCCTAAGCTGCTTGTGGGTTTTTTTAATGGATTTTTATTGGAAGAAAGGAAAGACAAAAATCAAAAAATTCTTCTCCAAAAAAAATTTACTATTACCTAAATCATTTCATCTTCCTCTCACAAAAGGTAATGGCTCTGTACCTAAGGGGAAAGAAATTTATTATAAAGTTAAAGAGCTGGAGGACTACTAAAGTTTACTATGAGGGAACAGAATACTAACTAAACAGGCCTGTATCAGTTCCAAGTAGTAGTATGTTGTATATAACTATAACATGTTAAGATAAACCAAATATTTTGCTACATATCTTTACTTCTTCAATTCTGCTCTCGTTGGAAACAGCCAAACACTACAAATCAAGAACCATTGATTGTTGGAACCACTGTTTCAACTTCCTTAAATATATTCTAAGAAAACTATCAAAAGAGAGGAAGCTTGTAGAAGTGAACATTAGCTATGATTCACTACACAGCAGGGGAGAGGGGGATGACACCCAACCACTAGAGAAAATTTCTGGGTTTTTCCTCCTTGTGGTGCTAACCCAGAAGCTGCATCTAGCATGGGAAGCAAATGCCCTACAAGTGAGCTAGTCCCCAGCCTCACCTATGTTTACTGCTATCCTGATTCATGCCAGGGATTTAAGATAGCACTCAGGAATAGTACGTATGCTTGAGATTTGGGGCTAGAAAAAAAGAATAATTTAAATGGGTTAACTAGATAAGGTCCAAACTAGTTGTGACAGAAGTTTGTCCTAAGTTTCTGGAAGCCAAAGTGGATCAATAAAATGGCCATTAAAATAATTCTTTTTTTTTTTTCTTTGGTCGTGGGGCTTCAACTCAGGGCCTTGGCACTGTCCCTGAGCTTTTTCACTCAAGACTAGCACTTTACTGTTTTGAGCCACAACTCCACTTAAAATAACTCTTATTAGATGGGCTGAGAAGGTGGCTCAGTGGTAGAGTGCTTGCCTTGCATGCATGAGGCCCTCGGTTTGATTCCTCAGCACCACATAAGCAGAAAAAGCCGGGAAGTGGTGCTGTGGCTCAAGTGGTACAACACCAACCTTGAGCTGAAGAGTTGAGGGACAGTTCTCAGGCCCAGAGTTCAGGCCCCAAATCAACAACAACAACAACAACAACAACAAAAAACACTTATTAGAGAAAAGAAGGGAGCATATTTTTCAGAAAACAAGAGAATTGCCAATAAATGGCATAGTTTCTGGATAGCTGATGTATGCTAACATTAAATAAATAAATACTAAGTTGAGTGTAGTGGCACAAGCCTATACTCGCAGCACTCTCAGGCTCAGGAAGGAAGATCTAGAGTTTGAGGCCAGTTTGGGCTACATCAAAAAAAAACAACAACAAAGAAATAAAGATCCTACAAGGCAAATAGGATAAATTTAAATTACTACTCTAATTGCAATAATGTAAAAGCATGATACTTACAAAAAAAGATTATATAACCTTCTACCTTTTCCAACTCCATAAAGTTATGATTTCTTTGGTCACAAAGATTATCATATTCCCCTACACCACAATCACACTGCAATCATTGTAGAATGCTAGGCATAGCAGAGCAGTTTATATTTTAACTATATTATGTATGATGTTGATATTTACTTGACTCATTTAAGATAGTATTTGGCTTATGAGATATATAAACAGTCAACATACCAACAGAAATAATAACTATAAACTTTTCTGATAAAGACTCCATTACTGCACCTCACTATAGATGACAAAATCCATAAGCTAAACGCAGCAAACACGACTTTTTCAACTTGTAACTTCTTCATTGCATACCATATGTTTTAGACTCCTCTTTAATGCTCACAAGATGTTACTTACCAAGACTATTCCTGGTACTCCCAGGTAAGAATAATATATAGAATTCCTTTTAAAATGCTTTATTCATGCTGGAAAAAAATTAAACATAACCACAAAATTCTAACAAAATTTTTATAGTCAATTTCTCAAAGTTGAATCATAACATCACATCTGATGTTTCCACACTATCAAAAACTATAAAGTGTATCCTTTAATTTCTGTTTATTTTTTCTTCCTTCTCAAATAGCAAATAACTCTAACCAACATTTCCATTTTTAATTCAGAAAATACTACTCACACCAAAACTTGAAGTTCCATTATGACTACTTTTAAAAAGGGTATATTCCCTAAAATACATCCATCAGAACTGACATGTTCAGTCTTTAAAAATATAGACTCTTAAGATACATAGACAAAAATATGGAACCTGAAGTCAGGCATGGTAGTGGACACATATAATCCCAGCACTCAAGAGAAGACAGGAATATAAACAGTTCAAGGCCAACCTGGCCACATAGTCTATCTCGAAATTAATTTTTCCAAAAAAAACCACACATCTCATTTATTACATAAAAAGAACTAGAACTGGTTGTACATGCCCATAATCCCAGCTCTCTAGGAGGTAGAAGCAGAAAGATCATAGTACATGGCCAACTCAGACGAAAGTGACCAAGACCCTATCTCAAAGACAAGCTAGGCGTAGTGACAAATGCCCATTGTACTAGTTGCTTGGGAGGAAGAGGCAAGAGGAAAATAGTTTAGGCTAGTCCAGGTAAAGTTTGCAAGAGACACTTTGTGGGAAAAAATAAAAATAAAATAAAAGCAAAGGACTAGGAGTATAGTAGCTGAAGTGGTAGAAACCTTACCTAGCAAGTGAGAAGCTCTGAGTTCAATCACAGTACCACCGGCATAAAAAATAATTCAGCCTAACATGTTTATTCAAATTTGCTTTCATCTTTTAAACTCAGTCCTGGATTTCTATTAATATAGGGCACTTGGGGCTGGGAAGGTGGCTCAGTGGTAGAGCGCTTGCCTTGCATGCCTGAGGCCCTGAGTTCGATTCCTCAGCACCACATAAGAAAAAAGAAAAAAGCCACAAGTGGCACTGTGGCTCAAGTGGTAGACTGCTAGCTTTGAGCTGAAGAGCTGAGGGACAGCGCCCAGGCCCAGAGTTCAGGCCCCACGATCAGACCCAAAAAAAAAAAAAAAAAAAAAAAAAAAAAAAAATATATATATATATATATATATATATATATGATACGAATGACTATAACTTACTGTCATCTTTTTAAAAATAAGTGGCATTGATTCATATTATAGATTTGAGGGAAGGAAAAGGGGACTACAACAAGCAAACAAAAAAACTGAAAAACTGAAAAATGTATAAAAGGAATCTACAAGGAATTTCTTTCTAAATCAAAGGAAAATTTTCTAAAACTTTACTATTCTTCAGAAATCAAGAAAAAAATACTTTAAAATAATGAAAATTAGGTTAATTCTATCAATTCTAAAATACTATTTCCTCTCTGCTATAAAAGCACAAGCAAATCAGGATTAGAGAGTTTATCTTCAATAGCCAAAATTTCTTGTTCTTTGAATTGAGAATTCGTGATGTTAAATGTGCCAAAAGCTTGCAATTGTTGTAAGACTGTTTATGTAGATGAGTGGTACTCATAGTAATGTGACTCCAATAGGCACAATAGTCTAGCATAAGCTCTCAAGTCTTCAAATTCCTATAACAGAACCTATAATAGAATCATATAAGTTGATAAATTCAGGGTTAACCAAAAAGATACATAAGTCTATGTATCGTGGAGCTTAAAAATACAAAGGCATGACATCTTGCTCATTTTGTTTCATTCACGCCCATTTTTGTTACCAAACATCCAGTAGCTCTCTTCTATGGTATCTGGTTAATAACCATGTATGGTATCTGGTTAATAACCTTGGAATGCTTGAACTCCAGATTCCCAGTAATTTTTATTTGGCTCTCTTAGGCACTTGTAGAGTTCAATAGAGTGCACTGACTTATCACATATATCACACATATTCTAAGCCTGGTGCTAAAAATTATCCAGCATGAATGGCGGTTCTTTAACAGTAGATGTAATGTGCCTTTAGGGTAAAGCAGGAAGAAGAGTAGGACACCTCTTGCTTCCTAGGATTTATAGTTTTTAATGCTGGGAGGGACAAGCAGAGATCTCTAACTACATCAGATGTAAATAGGTCATAAAGTTTCTTGCCATTTCCTTTTCTAACTTTGACTTAATTAGGTCATTTTCATTAGCCAAAAAAGAGAAATCATTCTAAAGGTTTGAAACAACTACTTTAGAAGTAGAGAATAACATGAAATTATAGTAAAAATGAATTAAATCTGAAAAGTGAAATTCTGTTCTTAATAACCTTATTGTTCCATTAAAATAAACCAGTCATTTTTATTCATGCTTAAAGCTTTTTTCTCATATTTTTAATTTAAATGCAATAACAGAACAATGGAATTGTATAAATGATCTACACACACATATCCCTATGTAATGAACATAGCATGTTAATTATAATCAGGCTGAGAGCTAAATAAAGGAAGTGAGTCTTTTATCTTGTTTTTGCTACTTTTGCATACATAGGTACATAACTATCATGAACACCGAGCCTCAACTTTTGATTCTGGAATAATTTTAAGCATATATTTGAAACCCGTGTCAAGTTTCAGGATCATACTACTGAAGCCCACTCTTCAATGTGTACTTAGGAGGAGAGGTGTTTTCACTTACTCTGGTCAGCATAGTTTTTTGCTTTGAGTTCAAGTTGTCTTGTTTGAGATTCTAGAGATTCTACTCGGGTCTGTAAATCCTTTTTTTCCTGTTCTTGAGAGTCTTCAAATTCAATAAATTTCTAAAAAAAAAAACAATATACATTTTCACCAGAAAAATAAAATCTTTCTTCTATTTTTCAACTCCTATGTTTCTCAGTATCGAGAATAACAATAGAGCCGGGTGCCAGTGGCTCATGCCTGTAATCCTAGTTACTCAGGAGGCTGAGATCTAAGGACCACGGTTCCAAGCCAGCTGGGATAAGGAAAGTCCATGAGACTCTTATTTCCAATAAACCACTCAGAAAACCAGAAGTGGTGCTGTGGCTCAAGTGGTAGCACGCTAGCCTTGAGCTGAAGAGCTGAGGGACAGCACCCAGGCCCAGAGTTCAAGCCCCACAACCGACCAAAAAAAAAAAAAAAAAGAAGAAGAACAATAGGTATTAATTACTTAAAGAGATTGTAGAGGTCTGGGAAGATGCATGAGGCCCTGGGTTTGATTCCTCAGCACCACATAAGCAGAAAAAGCTGGAAGTGGCACTCTAGCTCAAATGGTAGAGTACTAGCCTTGAGCTGAAGAGCTGAGGGACAGCGCCCAGATGCAGAGTTCAGGCCCCATGACCAAAAAAATAAAAGACTGTAGAATGGTGAACTTGGGTTGATTTTAAATTTCTCCATAAAAATTGTGTGTTTTTTGTTGTTTGTTTTTTTTGGGTCCGGTCATGGGCCTGAATTCTGGGCCTGGGCGCTGTCCCTCAGTTCTTCAGCTCAAGGCTAGCGCTCTACCACTTGAGCCACAGCACCACTTCCGGCTTTTTTCTTTTTGCTTATGTGGTGCTGAGGAATCGAACCCAGGGCCTCAGGCATGCAAGGCAAGCACTCTACCACTGAGCCACCTTCTCAGCCCCTCCATAAAAATTGTTTAGTCAGGATCTGGGAATGTGGTTTAGTGATAGAGTGCTTGCCTAACATACATGAAGACTTGGATTCAATTCCTCAGTACCACATAAACAGAAAAAGCCAGAAGTAGCACTATGGCTCAAGTGGTAGAGCACTGGCCTTGAGCAAAAGAAGCCCAGGGACAGTGCCCAGGTCCGGAGTTTAAACCCCAAAACTGGCACACAAAAAAAAAATTAGTCAAAAGTTGGGTGCTAGGGGCTGGGAAGGTGGCTCAGTGGTAGAATGCTCTTGCCTAGCATGCATGAAGCCCTGGGTTCGATTCCTCAGTACCACAGACACAGAAAAAGCCAGACGTGGTACTGTGGCTCAAGTGATCGAGCGCTAGCCTTGAGCAAAAGAAGCTCAAGGACAGTGCCCAGGCCCTGAGTTCAAGCCCCAGGACTGGTAAGGAAAAAAAAAAAAAAAGTTGGGTGCTTGTGGCTCACACCTGTAATCCTAGCTACTCCAGAGGCTGAGATCTGAGGATTGCGAATCAAAGCCAGCATAGACAGGAAAATCTGTGAGACTCTTGCCTTCAATTAATATTCGAAAAAGTCAGAAGTGTCACTGGGGTTCAAGTGGTAGAGCACTAGCCTTGAGCAAAAGCTGCTCAGGGACAGTACCCAGGCTCAGAGTTCAAGCCCCAGGACTGGCCAATAAAAATAAGAATTGTTTAGTCAGGGGGCTGGAAAGTGGCTCAGTTGTAGAGTGCTTGCCTTGCATGCATGAGGCCCTGGGTTCAATTCCTCAGCACCACATAAGCAGAAAAAGCTGGAAGTGGTTCTGTGGCTCAAGTGGTAGAGCACTAGCCTCGAGCTGAAGAGCTGAGGGACAGTGCCCAGAGTTCAGACCCCATGACCAGCAAAAAAAAAAAAAAATTGTTTAGTCAGATACAAGTAGATCAATCCTGTAACCTACCTAAATGGGAGACTGAGATTGGGAAGATCAAAGTGTAAAGCCAGTACAGGCAGAAATGTTAGTAAGAGTTCATAACTCTTCATAACTAAGAATTAGATCCAGTATTACATTGCATCCCTGTTATTCTATGAAAGGAAGCCAAAATTAGGCAGATCAGGGACTAGGCACAAGGCCAGACAGAAAGTGAGAACCTATCTCAAAAGCAACCACCACCACCAAAAAAAAAAAAAAAAAGCTAGAGGTATGACTCAATGATAAGAGTACTCAGAAAATACAAGGCCTTGAGTTCAAACCCCAGTACCTCAAAAAATGTTTTAAAACTTCTGAATTTAGAAGTAAAAATAAGAAACAAAGAGAGGGTTGGGAAGGTGGCTTAGTGGTAGAGCGCTTGCCTTGCATGCCTGAGGCCCTGGGTTCAATTCCTCAGTACCACATAAGCAAAAAGAAAAAAAAGCCGAAAGTGGCGCTGTGGCTCAAGTGGTAGAGCGCTAGCCTTGAGCTGAAGAGCTGAGGGACAGCGCCCAGGCCCAGAGTTCAGGCCCCCACAACCAGACCCAAAAAAAAAAAAAGATACAAAGAGAAAGAGAAAGCAATAGAGAGGGCTATACTGATAAAATATAGTATGTGCACATATAAAATACCATGCTGAAACTTCTTATGTACACACACACAGAAAAAATGACAAGAAAAACCGGGTGCTGGTGGTTCACGCCTGTAATCCTAGCTCCTCAGGAGGTTGAGATCTGAGGATCATGGTTCAAAGCCAGCCCAGTCAGGAAAGTCCCTGAGACTCTTAATCTCCAATAAACCACCAGAAAACTGGAAGTGGTGCTGTGGCTCAAGTGGTACAATGTTCACCTTTAGCTGAAGAGACAGCACCCAGGTCCAGAGTTCAAGCCCCATGAACAACCAAAAAAAAAAAAAACCAAGAAAATAAAAGAGGCTGTTGTAGAGAAAGGAAGGCAAATGGAGAGAGTGAATGAGGATGTATATGGTCAAAGTAGTTTACTTCCATATATGAAAACAAAACAATGAAACCTGTTTTAGAAAGGGAAAGGAGAATAGGGACATTGATAAAGTATGCAAAATTTTATAACAAAAAGGTATTTTGAGTCGGGTGCTGTTGGCTCACACCTACAATCCTAGCTACTCAGCAGTCTGAGACCTGAAGATTATGATTCTAAGCCATCCTGGGCAGGAAAGCCTATGAGACCTTATTTCCACTAAACTACCAAAAAAGCCTGCAGTGGAGCTGTGGCTCAAGAAGTAGAGCACTAGCCTTTAGCAAATAAAGCTCAGGGATCACATCCAGGCCCTGACTGCAAGCCCCAGGACTGGCACCATCCCCCCCCCAAAAAGGCATTTTGTTTTGAAAAATAAATAGTATGATCTAAGCTAGCTAGGCCAATTTTTTAAAAAAATTAGTAAGGTGTTTCTTATGGAATGGATATCCTAAAGAAAAATATACATCCTACTATAAATACATAAATCCTAATACTCATCTTCAGTTTATAATAATTTTTAATCTGAAATGTATACATTAGGGGACAAAAATAAAGGAATAACCATAAATGTTTCTTAAATAAGTAAATGGTTAATAAGCAGTTTGGGGCCTGGTGCCAGTGGCTCAGGCCTGTAATCCTAGTTACTCAGGAAGGCTGAGACCTGAGGACTGTGGTTCAAAACCAGTCTGGACAGAAAAGTCTGTGAGACTCTTATCTCTACCACTTCCAAATGATGGAAGTGGTAGAGCACTAGCCTCAATGGAAAAGTTAAGGACAGCACCATGCACACACACACATATACACACACATGAATACTCTCTTTATGTATATTTGTATAAGTATGTATGTATATACATAGATAAATATAAATACAGATTGTATAGACTAGAAATATCTCCACCAAGCAAAATAAATAAAACTATTCTCATCAAGGAGATTATGGTTAAATGTAATCACTAAATTGCAGTCTTCATCTTACATAGCAACATATGACTACTGATGATCATTCCTCCTTAAAACGCTTCTTTTTGTCAGTTGTGGGACTTGAACTCAGGGCCTGGATGCTGTACCTGACAAGACTAGTGCTCCACTACTTTGAGCCATAGCTCCCTTTCAGTTTTTTGATGGTTAACTGGAGATAAAGAGTCTCATGGACTTTCCTGCCCTGGCTGGCTTTGAACACTGATCCGCAGATCTCAGCCTCCTGAGTAGCTAATATTACAGGTATGCGCCCCCGGTGCCTGGTGGCTCTTTTCTGGTGACACTTCTTTTTTCATGTGGCTTCTAGGACTTTTCCTTGTTTCCCTAGTAGTTACTAGTTGTTCCTTTCTTGATATTTGCTGGTGATACCTCTTCTCCCAAACTTAATCACCTTTGTATATTTGTCCCTGGACAAATTTTATTTTTCTTTTCTTTTCTTTTTTTTTTTTTTTGGGTCCGGTCGTGGGGCCTGAACTCTGGGCCTGGGCGCTGTCCCTCAGCTCTTCAGCTCAAGGCTAGCACTCTACCACTTGAGCCACAGCCCCACTTCTGGCTTTTTTCTTTTTGCTTATGTGGTGCTGAGGAATCGAACCCAGGGCCTCGAGCATGCAAGGCCAAGCGCTCTACCACTGAGCCACCTTCCCAGCCTCTAAATTTTATTTTTCTTATTTACTTATTTTGAGACAAAGCGTCACTATATTGCCCAGACTGACCTAGAAATCTGGATCCTCCTGCTTCTGTAGCTAGAGTAGATGAGATTATAGGTATATACCACTATATTCAGCTTCTTGCTTACTTTTAATTCCTTGATGATCTCATCCATTTCATAGCTCTAAATACTAACTTTATGTTGACAGCTTCCAAGTTTCTACCTCCAGCCCAGACCTAATTTTCAGATTTGTGTGTACAACAGTCTACTGCACAACTTCATTTGGACTCTAATAAGCATCTTAAACTTGACATGTCAAAACCTGCTCTTTCTCCTGACTTCTCTCACCTCTTAAATCATTGTGGCCAACTGTTCAGGCCAAATACTTTGTAGTCACTTTGGCTATTTTCTTTCCCTAATATCTCATTTCCATTCCATCATCAAAGCTACCTCAGGGTCAACCACTTTTCCTCATCTCCAACACAACTCTAATCTGTGTCAGTATTATCTATTGCCTGGATTACTGCTACAGCAATAGCCTCCTAATTACCTCCTTACTTGCACTCCTGCCATTCTATCATGCATTTTCAAG